CAAAAAGTCTCTAAGCCGAAACCCCACCTGAAAACCTACCGTTCCGTACATTGTAAACCCTACAAAGAGATAACGTCTGATCGAGCTAAAATTTTTACCAGACACTCCTACATATGTACTCTAATGATGGTAGTAGCGTGAACTCGTGAAATTGTTTCTAGGCTATTCTAGAGATTTTCCAAAAACCACGGTTTTTGGTCGCAAATTCGGTTTTAGGCATCCATATTACACTTTGAAAAACAAACCAAGGTGATATTCGGAATCAGCTCGTCGAGCTGCATCGAACCATGTATATATAATAGTTTTTAAAGAAATTTTTGGTTCACCTTTAATGCTGATCCCGGCCCGAAAACCTACCGTTCCGTATATGGTAAACCCTACAAAGAGATAACGTCTGATCGAGCTAAAATTTTTACCAGACACTCCTATATATGTACTCTAATGATGGTAGTAGCGTGAACTCGTGAAATTGTTTCTAGGCTATTCTGCAGGTTTTCCAAAAACCACGTTTTTTGGTCGGAAATCTGGTTTTAGGCATCCATATTACACTTTGGAATAAAACTAAGGTGATATTCGGAATCAGCTCGTCGAGCTGCATCGAATGATATAAAGCTTAAGGTATTTTTCTTGAAAAAAATTTCCCAAAATAATATGGGTAGGGTCCTGCAGGTATATTTCGTCGTAAATAATTTTTTTTAAAAAGAAGCTTTTACTTCTCAAGTATTGATTTCCTGAGTGATATACGATCATTTCTGAGCAAAAGAAACCGTTTCCGAGCAAGTAAATCGATTTCAAGCTGCTTATACGAAAACTGCTAAATGTCCTGGGGTCTCCCTCAGGCATTTCTTGTGGAAAAATATTTTTTTGCAAACAGCGTTTAATTCTTTAAAAATGATTTCCTGAGTGATATGGGGTCGTTGCTGAGCAAATAAAAGCTGTTTCTGAGCAAAAAGGTTGCATGTCCGCCTGCCTATACGAAAGCTCCCCACTGTGGGTCGGTCATATTTTTGAAGTATTCAAATACATTATTAAAAAAAAATAAAATTTTGTTGCAGAATTTGTAGAGAACTAAACTTGTCATGATAGATTTCTATGTCAATTAATAACTGTACGGCACAAACATTTATTTGTGCACTTTTTTCTGTCATCCGAAAAGTTTGTAGGAGGTAAAACATGTTGATATCATCAAATAGGAAATAACTATGCCTAGGATTGTAGACCATAGCTGATTTAATATCATCATGTGTTGTTTTGTTTCATTAAAAGACAAATCTAAGCAATGTGACAATATATCCTTTCGAGAATCATCGAAAACTCATTTCCATTCAGATTCTGTTTTATTTTAGAAACAAAGTCTTCATGAAGATCCTAAATCGACTATGGACTACAATCTTAACATACTTATTTCATATTTTGCACTATGAAAGCATTTCATTTTCGTACCTACAAGCTTTTTAGAGCATAGAAAGAATGCTTAAATAATTTTTGCGCTTTGCACTTAACTATTGATACACTATTCCATCCTGAAAGTTTTTGTTTTGGTTTATACTTTATATAGTTTATTGTAACACTTGTAAATGCTTATAGGGAGCATAATGATCAATCAGACAATAGAAACGAAAGAAAAGCAGGAGAGAAAAATGTAACTGAGAAGCATAGTGAAAAAACTGGTACCACAAGAAATGAAGGCTTAGACCGAAGAATCACATAGCTATGCATCCTACGTGACAAGATGTGCTAGTTCTTTAAGAATAGTACAATGCAGGAGGAGAAATGACTCAACGGAAGTTAATTAACGAATTCTAGTCAGACTAGGAGTAGTGAATGGTTTTTAGCTTTTAATCTCTTGACTAATTTCATCGGAAACAATGAACTAAAACCATCATCCGTCAGTTTATAGAAATCATCCCCAAAAACATTTCTTCTAAAAACAGCAAGGATCCGTAATCTGATGAGTATATATTATTTAATCTCTTTCGAACCTATGGTTTAACATAGTTTTCAAGTGAATCTTCATAAGTAAATGAGAAAAGATCCATCGGACCGACAGATGAAGTACGGTGAATTAGATGCATTGTAGCTTTAAACATTCTTCCAAGTACTTCTTTCTGAGTTTGTGTAAAGAAAGTGAAGGGTGTAAGCAAAAAACATCTTCTCAATATCTCTTTGAAGAAAGTTCTGCCACTTCGCAACCATTTCAACTTACACAGTGATTTTTGAATGTATTCCAAGCATATGTTCTCATTGGGCTTTAACGACAGTTTACTACTCCAGTGTATTCCAAGGTACTTGAACGAGTTCACGTTCCCTATCTTCTGACCTAACATGTAAATATCAACTAGAGTTATTTGAATTTGGGAATAAAAAAGTCTTTGTTACAGTCTGACCTTCATTAATTGGTCGTTTCCAACATCGTAAATATTTCGAAGTCTTGCAGCATATTTTACTATCTTCGATTTCTGAAAACTTAACTAAGGAAAGGGATGATTTTTGAACGACGACTCGAATAAGAATAGTCAGATCATTGGCGAACAACCTGAAAGTTTCAACTCTCTGAAATTCCCGAGACAAAAATTGATTTATTTTTCTAATGTAAGAATTTTCTAAACTCTTTCAACAGCTAAAAACAACAGTTGAAATGAGATTTCTCAATGACTGGAAGAAATTCTAATGATAAGATAAGAAATATCATGTTGGAAAGTGACACCAATTCAATGTAAAATTTAGATTTATCTGAAGTAAAGTTATTTATTCTGACATAAAATTCTTGATTTTGAACTCATGAATCAAAATCAAGTACTTGTAACCTGATATTTATTGGAAAAAGCAATGTCCTATTTTCAATATCTCCATGACTTGTATATAATGCCTCTTACCAGATCGATAAAAATGTATGTTGTTCAAAGTCTGACGAGGAAACATTCCCAAGTGATTTGCACCGTTTGGATTTAACTTTTGCTGGCGTGTGGCGCTCATCATATAGATCAAATACCTAAAATGGTTGGTGTCATTGCTGCACGGTTTCAAAGTTATGAGCGAAACAACAACTACGATAGATGGTGCCATCTTCTGTGCAATATTCTTTTTTCTCCTTTGGTATCTTAAATAGGAGATAGCCTTTTCCATAGAGACTTATAATACAAACTTGTCTCATTTTGCTCGAACGAAAAACGTTTTAAGAAATATGTTTCAATTACATTATGAAAAATAGAAAGCATTACTGAATAGTTTGTAGCACCATCTCTATTATAGCAGATATTTCGCTCATAACTTTGGAACCGTGCAGCAACGGCAAGAACCCTTTTAGGCATTTAAGCTATAAAAACGAGCCCCACACACCAGCAAAAGATGAATGCAAACGGTGAGAATCACTTGGGAATGTTCCCTCGTTAGCTTTTCGGGTGTGCATATGCTAAATCATTCGATTTAGAGAAATCTGAAAGCTTCCAAACGAAGTTACAGTATGAATTAGGATTTGGATATCATTAAAAAGAAATGATCTTTTTCTTATCTATCGGTGAAGGTAGGAGTTTCTGAATTTGTATAATTAACGCTGATATAGTTAAGTCCTTTTGGAAGAAGAAACACATATTTAAAAAAAAGATTAAACTAACTTCTATTTTCAATCGAACTCTATCTCAATTTTGTGATCTAAATAACAGCTAGTAATTCGTAATATTGGTTGGATTTCCTCCACGGCGTTTGAATTAGAAAACCTCGATAGTTGGTTTTAATTTAAGTCATTTAATACCAGTTGCCATCTCAATTAGTGAATTAGGATATGTAGAGGATATATAAATCATCAAATCTATATTTATTTATACATATATTGCTGATTATGCAATCGAAACCAAAAACAGTCGCCATGCCAATAACATAGCTCTATCCATGTATTCACAAAAAGCGTGTGAAGCATCAACAGCTTGGTCGACAGATTTAGATTCTGCATAAAGCTAGCAGACCTGTTAGATATGTGGAAAGAGAACTAATCATGAAAACAACAGCATATATATATCTGTTTCCTGTAAAATTATCAATTTTTTTAATATATCAAAAGAAACTGACTTTTTTTAAACTGAAATACAAGTAATCATGGAACTAGTGAAAGTACCATGCAAAGAGATCAATACAGTTTGCAAAAAATGCAAGACACAGGGAACACAAACTCTATATTGAAATGAATTTTGTTGCTCATACCTGAGAGTTAATGGAGCGATTGATGCTAAGTCGAATAGTTCGATTCGATTTCGGTCTCTGATTGGGACAGCTGTCTGATTTATAGAATGAGATAAAGATGGAAATGAATAATGATACAGACAGTTTTAGTCCTAATTGACACGACAAGTGAAGAGATGAAGTTTTATTGATGACTCTTGACATGTAAACTCTTTTCTAAATATGAGCTGATAGGTGTATCTTCACATTCTGTTGCTGCTTTATGTACAAAAAAAATATTAATGGAGAGTATTGGATTGATTTTTTTTTATTGAAAAAAATTAAATCATTAATTTTTCTACAATGTCTATGACGAGACATAAAAATATGATCCGTCCCTGTAGTCGGTGTTTACAATTGGGCAATCAAATACTGAATACACTCGATTTATAGTGGTATTCGTAAAAAAAAAGAAGGCGAATGAAAACTGAACAGAATACGATTCTTATTTAATACACAGCAACCTTGAAATATTGTTTTTTTTTTGTCCATTTAGCAGCAATTTGGAATAAAACTTATTAATGAAAGTGCACAGACAGGATTCATTATTGCTTTGTGAAGGTTGAAAAAAAACAGTTCGATTGCTTAGATTCTTTCTTTTTACTTGTGTAGTTTCTTTATTTCAAACATCTCGTTCGTTCTCTATCGTGCTGTGTGAAACTTAGCCACTAATGGTTATATCGGGTTAAATAATCAGTTGAGATTACATAATTGCGATGGGTTTCTTTCCTCTTACTACTCTTTAGCTTTATTCTTCAACATACTCTACTTTCGGTATTTAGGACATGACGACGGTAAAAAGCAAATCGTGTTGCGTTCAAGATTGCACAACAACAGGCGTAACGACTTGTATGGGATGTCCACAGATGATTTATTGCTATGAACACTACTTACAACATCGTGAAGATCTCAATGGACAATTGGAAATACTTGCAAATGAGAGGAATGCTCTTATGCATAAAATAGAACAGCAAAAAGCTGAACCTCAACAACATGCTTTGATGAAAAAAATTGACGAATGGGAACTTGATTCGATCGCTAAAATTCAACAAGTGGCAAAAGAAGCCAAACAAACATTACTGCCACATGTTGCTAAGTTCTTTCCGAGAGTGGAGCAGCGATTGAATCCATTAACGAATGAACTTCGACGGAAACCTAACAAGAATGACTTTGTCGACACAGACATAACGAAATGGAAACAGGAACTAGGACAATTAAAGACGTTACTTGACAATCCACCTGATGTTAAAGTGGAAGAAGGTTCCACACCACTTGTGACAAAAATTCAAGTAGAAATAATCCCACGTAAGTCTGTTCATTAAATTATACTTGAATTGGAAAAACAGGCAGATTGTTGATAGAAGAAAGTAATGAGCCATACCATGAGATGAGACAAATCCTTAATACGTGAGTAGATAAACAGTTGCATTAGAAGTTGCACTGTAATTAAATAGAATAGGTGTTAATATTTATTTAATATTTTAGTAAATTGAAGCTAATTAGTAAAAATGACTGTGAAGAATGCTCTTTTACAGAAAGTATTGTTCAAAAAGAAGTTCAATGGCAAAAGACTGGGTTGGTTCAAGAGACTTGGCCGATTTTTTTCTTTTCAATTTTTTAAAATTTTATTAGAGCAAAATACCATTAATCAAAAACATATGCACCATTGTTATCTACAATATACTCCCGTCTTGAGGGTGTGAGTGTGGGGATAGCTGATATTTACATCTACGTCCACACCCATCCACACCCTCTAAGGTAATACTAAATATATTTAATTTTTGTATGTCTAATTATATACAGAAATAAAGTATTAGCCCATATTCATCTAGCAAAGCTGCAATCATACGATAATTTTTATCTCATATACACTAGAGTGATCGAAAAGTTCCAGGAACTTCAGTATATCTATTTAGAGAAATAACATTCCATCAGTTTTTTTACGTCATATATTTGAGGTGGTTACTCTGATATTCCATGAGAAATTTCATCCTTTTAACTTATTCTTTAGATATCCTTTCGAAGCAAAAATTAGGTATTTAATTGAGCACCTTGTTTATTGTTTGAATTTCTATAATCTTTTGAACTGTCAAAAATTTGGAGAAGTTTCTAAGTGGTGAGCAGATTTTATGTGATACCATTAGCGGTTATGAGACATGGATGTGCCATTGCAATATTAATTGAGAATCATTATCGAAACTTAGGTCAACAAGAGAAACTAGTTCTACCAGCGACATTTATTGGTAAGGATATCAGAAAAAATAATATATATATCAACTGTTCAATGATATTCTAATCATCATTTGATATCTAATGGTTTCTATAGGGGCTAGTTATTTTATCTATATTAATGATTAATGTTTAAATTCACAAATAAAAAAGTTATCCAACAAAAAAGTACCATCATGACCTAGTCCGATCAGTTCCCATCATGGTTTTTTTTCTCAGCAACATGTAAAATAATACCATTATTTGCTTAACAGTGAGAGAAATGAAGGTAAAGCTCGCCAAATGTACTCACCTTACACTAGGCTTTCAGGTTCATAGTCGTTGAGATGTATTCAAGATAGACTAGATAATCAGCAGCTACAACACTTGAGCTAGGATTATAACCAAGGAGGTCAATTCAATACCTATTGTTTACTTTGAAAGGATATCTAAGGAATGAGTTTAAAAGACGAAACTTCCTATGGAATATTACAATAACTACCTCAAATATATGGCGTAGAAAGATCGATGGAATGTCGTTTTTCTAAATAGATATACCGAAGTCCCAGAAACTTTTGCATTATCCTCAGTATATATGAAATAGGTGGTATCTAATTGTGAAGAAACGATACAGACAGATGTATATGTTCATTATATTCGGATGAACTTGTCTTATAGTATTGCTACGTACTATCCTGGAACAAATCGAGATTTCGTGTTACAAGACATCACTCAAGGAGAAGAGACAGATAGGAATTCAATAATTAATTAGCCGTAGTTAATATTTTCTGCGATGAAGCTAGGAAAAATATAAACTAAAATAGTGAGCTTGCAGTCTTTGCTTATTTCCATGCCGAGAAAAAGTTATTAAACTATATGGAAACTAATAACAGACAATCGTGTGAACATTGATCAAAGCTGTATCAACAAAATAAAATACCTTTCGCGATCAAAGTCTCGACTTCATTTTGATCAGACTCTCATTAAAATAAGGATGAATTAAAAGGAATTGCTAGCATGAGTTTACTTAATGGCTGCACATAATGCTCGAGTTCAGTTAGATGATAGATAGAGACATATCGTTTTAAGAAAATACGTTATACAAAAACTAATGAGTTTATTGTTTTTTTTAACACTCTTATTTTGTACATTCACCATTGCGATCAACGATATATATTTAATGAATAAACTTCTTCTAGTTGATATATCCTGTTGTTATGTCAGGGATTTGTTTCTTTTTAATCATAGAAAAAAGTTTACATTTATCTTTATATTTTCTTTATTTTTGAAAAATAAAGATTGTATTTATCTTTATTTCATAAAGTAAATATAAAGTAACACCCCTAGTTGATAAAAGCCAATACTTTATTCTATCTGCTCCCAGTAAGGTTTTCTTTTGATATAAAGATAAATGAGCTCGGTTCTAAAATTTATTTAGTTTACAAAATGATCATTCTGAAAATATTTTCAACTTAAAAGAAGGAAAAAAAGTGGGTTCTTGTTTGTTATCATCCCCGGCAAAAATTTTTTAAATTCTTTTTTACAGTAAGGGTGAAGATCCTACATCTCTCACCTTCACCCTTACCACTTAGCTTAAAAAAGAATTTAAAAAAATTTTGGTGAGGCGATGATAAACAAGATCCAAAAAATGAAATTGAATTCCTCTTCTGTTTTTCAAAGCCCTACATACTTTTTAGCCGAGAGTCAGCTATGTCTTTTCAAATACAATCTTCCAAGTATATGAAAATAAATCAACTCTACCATTTTCTGATGAATTTCAATAAAATCAAGATTATTATCGTTAGATACTTTACAAAGTAATATGCTCAAATGAAAGTCCAAGAAGAATAAAATATATCAATTTATCTTTTCGAATATTCGAATAATTGCACTTTCTGAGGATATTTTTATACTAAATAAAGAATTGAAACAGATAGTTTCATATGATTTGAAGTTACAATAGTCGACAATTTTATCATTGTCAAAATTAATATTAAATAAGCAAATTTCTGACAAAAAGCAAAATCTTCATTTGTTAAACATCCATCAATCATTTATTTGAACGAGAAGATTGTTCTTATTCAACTTAAAATTCGATCCTAAGTCGTTCATTTTTTATGTTATCGACCTTTGCTTTCTCGAAGAATAGACAGAAGACTCTACCATCAATGTCGAGACAATGTCTTTTGTAAAGAAACAATAAATCTTCTAAGAGAAAAAAAACACTAAAGGAATAAACAAATTTAGAAACGATTGATTATTGATTAAAAAAATCTTCAAATGACTAAGTTTCAATCGAATAAAATATTTAAAAATAAACAAATCTGTCTTTTTAACTTTGAGAAAACAAATCCACCGTCTTCAACAGTACAAATTTCTCATGTCAAAAATCAAATTCTGATCAAATAAAAAAAAATTAAATTTTTTGTAATTGAGACACGTTTTTTCATATGATTAGTTATCGCCAAGAAAATAAACGAGCGCTCAACTAAATATTGTTCAAAACAAGTGAATGGCTCGTTTCGATGAAATACAATTTTATTTCTACTTCACATTTTCATTTCATTTCAGCACCACTACGTTCAACTTCAATTGATATTGATTCGAATGCTAAATGGATACAAAATGGTCTCACTGTAGCTGGAGGAAATGGACAAGGCAGTGGAGCCAATCAACT